GGTTCCTGGCCATCGCTATTGGGTTGGAGGCCATTGCTATTAGGTTGGAGGCCATTGCTATTGGGTTGGAGGCCATCGCTATTAGGGTGGAGGCCATTGCTATTGGGTTGGAGGCCATTGCTATTCGGTTGGAGGCCATTGCTATTGGGTTGGAGGCCATTGCTATTAGGTTGGAGGCCATTGCTATTCGGTTGGAGGCCATTGCTATTTAGTTGGAGGCCATTGCTATTTGGTTGGAGGCCATCGCTATTAGGTTGGAGGCCATTGCTATTAGGTTGGGGGCCATATCGTCATTGGGAGAGAGCTCTTCAGTCAAAATCACAAGGAGTCGAGCCCTCCATCTCTTCCCAAAACCTTCACACCCGCTCTCAGTGCACCAGTTAGATGACCCCGCAGAAGAAGATCTTATCGCAGTGTACTTTCACATTGCCTGCGCCGCACTCCTGAAATCATCATGATGGCAACGTGGAGTTCACTGTTTGGTATTCGGATCGTCCTTCGAAATCGTTCCCATGCCAAGTCCCTGGAGTGGAAACAGCACCACCTGACTAGGATGGTTTACAGAACCCCCCTGACCACCGGATGACCTTCCATCCAAATACCACCCGAGCGGCTCGCCCTTCGCCCCCAGTCCTTTGCGGACGGTCCGGTAGGACGCCTCAGGGCGGCACGGTGCTTCGGCCCGAAGACCATCCATGTGTGAAAAGACGGTACCGATCAGTTGGGGTGGTTGACCTGGGGTCCATGTCCCATACACGACTAATGGGACTGGAATATATGCCGCCCCATTGACCCCTCTGGCACCACCCCAATGTAGACATATATGGCAGTCCCATGGAGCGTCTGGGTGTGATTCCTGACATTTGCGAGGAATCCAAGAACTTTGGTCCACCGATGTGGGCCGAAGACCAGGACTCACTGATGTTCATTTCGGTGGCAATCCGCTACACGGGTGCCTTTTTGGATGCACCCGATCGGTCTGGAGCCCTGATCCGATCGCATCCAGCACGGCCGGTGAAGACTCCGCCAACTGACCCGCCTCCAAGTACTTGTTCCCAATGGAGATGTTGACGTCCTGCAGCGGGTACTTCGTGCCCGGCACAATGCGTGGTTGACCGGCACGACCCGTGTGCTGCCCACCAAAACGGATCAACAGTTCGGGAGCTGGTGGAAACTGCTGGCAAAGCATCCTTTAAGTGCTCTCGTGCACAAAGCTGGCTAAGTCGCGCCCAAGCCTGACAAAATGCAGCACCATTAGTTTTGTAACAACGTTTGAAGTTTGCTTTGTTTTTAAATCAACGTATATATGAACGTTTGTAAGAACGTTTGCATTGTTTTTTAATCAACTATATATAATATACGCATAATATACGCTTATTGACTTCTTGGCTGCATGACAGGGATAATGAGGTGGTTGGCGACATGTGCCTGCACTCTTGATCTTTTTGTTCTTTGTCTGGCTTCGATTCTTTTCCAGAAGATTGCAATTAAACTTTAAACAGATCGAACGCATCAATCGAACGCCGACCTTCGAGGAGGCGACATGTCGTCCGACAGCTTGCAGCACTCGACATCGGTGCAAAGGGTGCGAATCATCTCACACGACCCGGCCTGCTGCACGGAAGCTTCCGTATCCTGCACCAAGAAAACAGGTCTGAACTATTCTGGACCGCTTGATCCTTTGCAGGTCAGGACTGCAAACATGTCTGGCTGTCTGGGTCCTTTTCCACCAATTCTCTGTAATGCCATACCAATGATGATTGCTTCTCCTGGATGCACGCACAAGTTCGAGAATCAAGTTCGATCTAGTTCGTTGTGACTGTGCAAGTTTTGCCCCAGCAATCCATGAACGGCAGCTTGACCCCATTCAAGCTAACCTACATGTTGCGGCTGCCCTTTGAGGGCCGACCTGCATCGGGTCAATCATGGGTCAATCTGTCACAGTTCCACGAGTCGAAGATGACCAGATCACGACCTGCCCGACCTCGATACTACTTCCAGGGTTGTCCGCAACGATGCTAGACATTGCCTCGCCTCAAGGGACCGTCAGGCGCGTGTAGCACACTTGATGAATGCGCCACACTTCTGGAATGTGACTGTAACAAGAAAGGGTCGCGGATGGTCGGATGGTGTGGTACTGGGGGCCAGACGCAACGTGGCCTTCCAGTTTCGGTGAACTGCGAAATTCTTTGCATCCTTGGTGATGTGTGAAGAGGCTACTCTTCTTGCCACGCGGGCTCCTCATATCATCGCAGCTAAGGAGTCTGCCCCACCAAAGTGTTCCCAAAGTTCCCACTTGCGCTGGCAGTTTCCATCTGACAGCGAGAATACGAGCAACACGATGACTTGCAAGTACAACGAGCTTCTATGTCTTCCAGTCATGAATCATGAAGAATAAAGAAATACATGCTCCTACAAAAAATAATCAAACATAATAGATAAACAATATATATGGTTGTCATTCCTTGGAACAGTCTGGGATGGTCTGGCCCGAGGTCCACAAGTCCTTTTTATGTCCTTGTTGCTTTTGTATCCTTATTGTATATACATTATTGAATAGTTATATATTACAATCATTGTAACTGTATTGTATTTTATATTCACATGTATTCACTGGGCAAACAGGCAGGCGAAAACGACCTAAAAAACGCGACTCCGTGGAACCGACCCACCGAACCTGTCGGCGGAGAGATGTGATAGCCATGCTCCGCAATCAGCGTGAAGCTGTTGAGGCCTCGGCTCCAAAACACCCTCAGCTCAGGCGAAACATGGCATTTAGGGCATTTACTAGTGACTTACTAGGCCAAGTAGATGGCTCAACTCAATATTCCAGGGCCACTTACTTTCCAAAGAGAGTACTAAGGTATACTAAGGTACTGAAATACCACCGAACGCCGGTTTCGACCGTCGGCCACACGGACACCGGTCTCCCCTGCTTTGCGCCTCCGGAACCTTCCCCGGAAAGCGGGTGTGGGTTCGGTCCGGCGGACGTCGGGAGCGGCTGGGAGACTGGCGTTGGACGGGACCAAACACACACACACACACCTACCTGCACCCTCCAACAGGTCACCATCTGCGACTTTTAAGTCAGCAAAAGCCTCCAAAGGAGACCTGTTGGAGGGTGCTGGTATAGGGATCCAGTTCCGGTGCCGAAGCGACCCGGTTCGGTACGAAAACGGACGGACCCGACGTTTTGGCATCGTCTCATCACAGTGTCGAACACATCACCTGCTGAGAAGGTACGACTGGATCCCTATAGGGACACAAAAGAACAGAGCACTGTGGACCCTGGTCGGTTGACCAGTGTCTAGAGGTGTCTATTCTGTTCATGCTCGGTGGGAAAAACAACATCGGAAAAGCCCAGTCTTTTCTCCGCAAAATAAGTCACCCACACATTCCAAAAACATGTTTCGTGTCGTTTCGCAAAGCACTAAGTAAAGCAAGCCTTTAGGCCATCTGTAAAGCAAGGCACTTCCGAAGTGAGTTTCCAAAAAACTGGAATCGCGGCCGCTGATGATATGGGACCTGCCATTTTCCATCGATCCGAACGGCAAAAACAAAGTTCCGTTCAGCTGCCACGCTTTCGCACGAGACTCTGCCAGTTCCAGTTCGGGCAGTGACATTGTTTGACCGAAGCCTCTCCGAAAAATCATCTTAGAAATCACATGACTCCTATAGCCTATAACATCCTATAACGTTCTTTTTGAACTGGAGAGCTCATGACAATCAGCATTCCAACCAAAACGCTCAGAGCCTTTCCAAACATAGCTCAGCCCCGGCACCTGATGTCAGGTCGATCATTCAACGCCTGGGCTCGGTCCGCGTCGCCGCGTCCGCGACCGGTCGATGGGTCGGTCGACGTGCCGAGGGGCCGCAAGAAGACTCAGGAGCTCGTCTGTTGGAACCTGAGAGATCTGCAGTCGGTCGTCGAACGGAGCGAGTAACTGTCAGATCGATCGAGGTGTCTGTTCACAGGCTTTTCATGCAAACTGGCGGCTCAAAGGTGTACTAAAGAGGGTGGATATATCCATGTCTGACAATTACGACTTTCATGCGTTTCTGCATGGAAACGGACCTTTCACGGTGCCGGGATGTGCCAGGTGGTTCCGTTTCTTTTTCGCCAGGCAACAGCGAGTTCTGGCCTCGTTTCAAACTCCCGCAGGGTGCCATCCTGGGCGCGTCGCGAGCGCGGCGGACGTCGGCGGTCGAGGAGACCTGGGAAGTGACGGTCGACGAATGTTTGAAGGTTGGTGGCCCGATGGGGCCCGATTTTTGGAACATCCTTTAACTTCAGTGCAAAAACGAAGTCAATCTGGAAAGTTCAATGTCCTGAGATGGTGTTTGGGCTATTTGGAGGCTCAATTAGCGATCATATCAAACCACTTTTCACCATGCCACGGTCGACACACAGACTTGTGTTCATGTAAGCGCACGTCTGCACGAGCACGGCTTGCGAATCTTCCCGTGTGCTGGGCAACCCGGGCGTAATCTAGGAAGAGAGCCTTCGGCCTCATTTTTGCACGAAAACCCACATTCTAGATAGAGCATTCTTTCGGCCGCCATCTAGATCGGTGCAGCATGGACAGGGGTGCATCATCGAATGGGTAGATCCTCCAAAAACCTGAGAAGAGCAGAAACAAACGAGGCCAACTGGGATGCCAACATCCAAGCCTCGTTGGCCTCAGTGGCCTTCCTTGGAGGCTCCTCCCCTTCTCAAACGCATACCATTACACACCCATCTCATTCACATTGATTCACTCCAACATCATGGATAGCCGGGTCTACCGTTGACCCCGGCCCGGCCCGACCCGGCCCGTGCGAACTCCCTTCCCCGGCACAGCCATCAGGAGGCCAGCTGACGCAGTGGGCAAAGGAAGAATCTATGCATCAAAATGTATCCACAAACATGTTAGAGGCGGGATCGGCAAAGTGTTTTTAGTCTGTGCGAATAAACTCCTTTCTACTGTTGTCGGTCTGCGGAGCTGTATTGGGGATTTAGTTTGATTAAACCCTTTTTGGTCGATTGATATTCATACCCTTGGGTTTGGGGTTTGGATCAGTATGTAAACCCTTTGTGATCGAGAGAGGGCCCTTAGTCGACCAAAAAGGGTTTAATCAAAACTAAACCCCAAGTACAGCTCCGTAGACCGACAATTTTAGAAAAGGGTTTATTCGCACAGACTAAAAAACCTGCCGATCCATCCTCTATGATGTGATTGTGGGCACATCTTGATGCATAGATTCTTCCTTTGCCCACTGCGTCAGGTGGTCTCCTTACGGTGGTGTACCCGGCAACCGATTTGAGGTGTGGTTTGGTGGATTCTACAAAGGGCCTATACAAATGGAAGGACCGCAGTGGACCGGCCCGGACCGCCGGGACCGACCCGCAGTGGCCCGGCCCGCGGTGGCCCGGCCCGCGGTGGCCCGGCCCGCCCGGACCGGCCATGAACATGGCATCATTGCCATGCCTGCTTCTCCCGTAACGGGAAGCCATGCTTCTCCAACCCTCCGTGTCCGGCTCGGAGTGTGTAACTCCTCCGTCCCTTCGGCTCGGTGGTTTGATGAACCTGTCAGGGTCCCCAGGAAGTCAGTCATCCCATTTTCAGGTCTCAGGAGATCCAGGTCCCATTGATATCCCTTATAAAACAGCAGTTCGCAGGAAGCCGGGTTTGACAAATAAACACATCTTCTTGAGGGAGAGCTTAGGGATTCATCTTCCAAGTTTGGAGTCATATCCAGTTCGGGAACATCAGAACCATCCACCCGGTGGCAAATCCAGAACCTGCCTTTGTCGTACCCCTCGGCGCCCGGGCAAATCGCGGTCTACGAGCGGCCAAAACTGCTGAAGAGCCTCGTCTGAGTCTAGCCTAGGCGACGAGGTTCCGGGTCACTTGGATCACACCAGGACCATCCTGTCTGGGTGTCCAGGCTCCAGGCTGGACAACCTTGCGCTGCCACGCTACTATCCGGGATCTCCAAACCGGACACCCAAACAGGATGGTCCAGGTATTGAAAACGATTATACTGCAGTATAGTGCAGTATGCATGCATATATCATGACATTTCCCTCCAAATGTGCGAAGACCAGGACCGGATTGACGTTAGAGGATTGACCGGTGAAAAAAGGGCGGTGCTTCCCCACGTTGACCGGTCTTCCCAAAGCATCGCATTGTTGCCCTCTGGAGAACGGTCAACGACGGTCGTTACCGCTTTGATTCACCCCTCAACGATGGGACTGCCATATATGTAGATCAGTTGAGGTGGTGGTGCCAGAGGGGTTAATTGTGATCGGCATATAGTCCAGTCCCATGGAGTGGATGGGAATTGGATGGAACTCCCGTTTTTTTGCCACTATGTGGATCTAGGATCTGAAGAAAGCCGGACCAACCATTGGTTTCTGGATGTGGCTGTTTCACATTGGGGCTCAAAACCGGTGGTTTTTCCGCATCGTCTTCCTCCACGCCCCCGTCTCAAAAGGCCCCGGGCATTGACAGTGGCTGTGTGGTCAAGCGCAAGAGATCTTCGGACGAATCCACCTAACGGTCGGCAGCCGCCCGGGAACGGGATGTTCCCCTCCACAGCCAGCTCACCCAATGCGCAGTGGTTCTCCCGAAACCGACGATATACGATATAGGCCCTGTCATGGAATAGAAGTTCGTAGATCCCCACGTAGAAAATCGTAGAAAATGTATTGGAAACCATGCCACTATCTGTTTGGGGACGACTAAAAATATGACTGACGCATCTGACGCATATGACTGCCATAGCTGGGGTGCCATAGGTAGCTCAGTCTTTTTTCCAAGCGCCTGTTTCGTTTGACTTTGCCACATCTCTGGCCTTCATGGGGGAAAGCTCCACTCCTCCTTCGAAAAACTCCTCCCGGCGGTCGCGGGTGTACTCGCGGGGCGGCCGTGGGCGCAGGCTGCGTAGGCGTAAAGAAGATCAAAAACGTCGCATCGCCCAACGTGTTTGCCAAGGATCTGGCTGTGGGTCAGGGCCCAGTCAGTCTATTAAGCTGTTCATGGTTCGGTGGTTCCAGGTCTCCCCGGTGCCATGACCCAGTCCGCCGCAGCCGCCAGTCCGCCGCCATGTCTCCCGATCTTCACGTTCGGATCCCAAAGGACTTGTTCGTTTCAACCCGAAACACAAACTTGATGGTGCAAATGTGTAGGTTTGGGAGGTTGCGAGAAAAACACCGATTCTTGCTTAAGCTTGGGCCGGCGCCCAGGCCGGCCAACTTCTTCAGGCCTTCTTATGTTGGATTTCTTTTGGAAAACAGATGCATAGTGAGGCCGACCAAAGCTGCACCTCTGCATCTGTTGGCAATGAAGACCTGCCCAAACCGCCCGCGAAGCTAGCTCTACGTTCCGGAACTCTGAACTCAATTGCTCAACCCCATACACTCCATGTATGGAATATATGCCTACATTGACCCCTCTGGCACCACCCCAATGTAGACATATATGGCAGTCCCATGGAGCGTCAACTAGACTCAGTCGACTCTGGTCGGTACAACCATGTACAACCCATTATGGCATGTTCCGCTCCGTGTTGGCCAGTCACACGATGGTCCGAGGCGCCGGCATCACAGGCGGAGAGTTTAGCGTGGTCGCTTGCGACAGAACTGTGATGGTACTGCTGGTGCTTGTCCCCGAACCTGGGCGTTCACCGTGTTAGGAAACAGTTGTGACAGCCTCAGCCTTGTGGGTCAGCCACGTGTCACGTGTCTTGAGGAAAAAAACACTCTAAGATACTCTAAGACACCAGCAATTGCCTGGAGAATGCATTGGTGTTGCCTGGCGGTCTTGCACAGCTACAGCAGCTGTGCGGTCTATCCGACTTGCACTTCTTGTTCGAGGTCTTGAACAATGTCCGTGAAGATAGTCAAGGACAAGCAAACTTCAGACTCCTTGGGACTGGAATATATGCATCCCTAAGAATCAAGGACCCTCAAAGGTGAAGGTTTTGAGGGTCCAAACCCCTGCTCTGCAGGGTCAAGACCCTCCATAGGAGGGTCCAATGATCCTTAGGGATATATATATATATATATATACCAGCACCTTCATGTCGGGGTCACCTGGCTGCAAGCCCCAGCCCACCACTAAGGGACCTCCATTGGACACCCCTTGGCTCCGGGCCGTCCGCACTGGCCGCACAGGCTTGAGAAATGAACAGCTGAACCCTAGAAGTCCAAAGACTATACTTTGACCGACTGAAGTAAAGGACATTCCTTGACTCGTGTCACCGTCCAAGACCATTCTTTTTATAGTCTTTGTTTGAATCGCAGGGTATATATATATACATTGACCATCATTGACCCGGGTCAACCATCCCAACTGATCGGAAAATATTGCAGCCCCACATCTAATTTCTTTGAGCCACGCCCACATTGGTGCCTCACTGCTCTGCAGCTGTGCAGGACATGCAAGCACTTAAGCCTTGGCTTCGATGCTTCGGCTAAGCTGCGACGCGGATGTCGTTCCTCATGACTCACTCGCCGCACGATGTCGTCAGCTGGGCTCAGTGTCCCACTGTCTTTGGCATCACTGTCTTTGCTATTTGAAATCCGCTGTGAACTGCAACATCCTCCAGCAAAGCGGGTTCCGCTTTGCAAAACAAAAAGCAAAGGCTACTTCTCCTTCACACCAGTCCCTCTCGCTCTTTTCCCCCTTTTTTCACTGTTGGGCAGTATAGATCAGTATAGGCAGGAACTAGACCAGGTTTTGCCAAGTGTTGGTCCTTTGACCATTTCCCCAAAGAAAGAAAGAGCGAGAGAGAGAGCTGGTTCGCTGTGAGCTTCGCTGCCATCCGCTCCTGCACACGGCATAGACCTTGAGCGACGTACTGATTCAAACCTGGACGTCGAAGCGGCGAAAGATTGGAGAGTCCTTCGTTTGACTGCCAAGTGTCAAACGAAAAGATGAACACATGCCCAATGCTCAAGCATGCTAAAGCCATTCTGCCGCAAAGCTGTGACGTGGGACCCGGCCTTTGTTCTAATCTACAGCCATCACTGCTGCACGGTCGAGCTCCAGATGGGCTCTTCCTACACCTGCCAACGAATCTGCTCCAAAGTCTTTGCGCAAAACGTGCTACCGTGCGCTGACTGCATGTTTTTCATTACTTGCATGTGACCGTGCGATATGAAACGTCCCCAAAAGGGCTAGCGATTCAAATGGCTAGAGCCACACTACAAGCAATATCAAATCCGGCAACATGCTGCTTGGGATGAACTTCTCCGCCAAGGTTACAAACTGTTGCAAATATAACATATCATATTTACACACATTGAGGCTAGCCTGCAACATTTGGGAAAATCATGGAACATCCTGCGCTCATAGACCCAGCCAGGTGTTTTGGAGTTCTTCCTTTTTTTGAATTCTACTTGCAGTCACAACTAATTATGTATACCCTGGGAGTCCAAGACCATTTTTAAAACGGTCTTTAGGTGATCCGAAAAGGAACTTCCTTTACTTGGGTGGTGCCTAAAATAGTCTTTGGACTTCTAGGGTATATAGAACTACGGTTTGAGTATAACAATATTCCTACCTGCAACCTGAAACGACCACTTTTTTTTGGTTGTTTCTTCAAACGACCGTATATTTTTCAAACGACCATAAAAAATGGTCTTTTCTTAAACGACCGTATTTTTGTCAATTATGATGAAGTTCAAATATTACATCATGCACAATGCATATCAAGCAGTTGATTTGTGAAATCGTATACGATCGTATACGACCGTATATTTCTGGAAACGACCGTATATTTTTCGAACCACGACCGTATTTTGTTGAAACGACCGTATATTCTTCGAACCACGACCGTATACAGGCCGTATGCAAACCGTATGCAAACCGTATAAAAACGTATACGACCAATGTTTTCATGTGTAAAATGACTGCAAGATAAAACGACCGTATCTTTTTGAAACGACCAAAAAAAATGGTTGTTTTCAAAACGACCAAAAAAAAGTGGTCGTTCCAGGTCCCAGGTATATACTATAACGACTTTGAGTCATGTGTAATTATATTAGCAGGATATAGCAACATCTCCACCTCTCGCGACATCAACATCATCCCAACCTCTCGCGTCGTCCGGCCTCTCTGTCGAGGTATCTGAACGTCCACCAGAGCGTCCGCGTCTGGCCTCATCGGACGAGACCGTTCTGCACGGGCCGTTGGTTCCAAAAAGCAGTTCGGTGCCCGGCAGTTCGGTGTGCTACGGGAGCTGCTTGCATGCTGCCCACATGTGAGTGTGTGTGTTGCGTGTTGGACAAAATAGGTGACAAAAAAGTTCATGAACTTGACAACCAATTCTGCCGCATCGAATAGAATGCCATGAACATGCGAATGCCCCTTTAAAGAGGTGCATACTCTCCATGGACTGGTCAGCATGCTTCCAGCGGTGAAACTTACTTTGAGCCCAGGTTTATCGATGGGTGGAACATGGGCGAAGCACCGTGTGGTTTTCAAAAAAGGAATCACCCTAAGAATCCGGACCCTCAAACACATAGGGTTTTGAGGGCGGGCAATCATAAAAAATATCAACAGAAAACATGCAAGCACCTAACAGCGATCAAAGTCGGTCCATCGCCCAAGTCTGGGGATTGTGCCATACTCTTTGTGCCCACGGTAAAAGCAACGGCACGAAGCACTCAATCTTCCAAGCGAAATCGAACCAGCTGCGCTTTAGCAGCCAGTTGCAGCTGCGACCGCTGCCTGAGGTCTGCCACGGTCGTTCTGATGAGCCCTCGGTCACTTGGATCCTGTAAAGCTTGCAGACCATTTTTCCCAGGTGCTGGTCACAGCTGACCTCAGTGTACCAAGTGTCTGCAGGGACTTATATAGACTAAGTCGATCCTTCAGGTCGGGGCATGATGTCAGAGCTATCGCCTTTCTCTTTGATTGCTTTCACCTCAAGTATAGGTATCTATCACCTCTGTCATGCAATCATGCAATGTCATTATATTTTGGCGCCACGCGTTTTCCATGACACTAAAGGAAGGCTGAGTTCTTGCACCAACACACAGAATTCCTCGAAGCTTATGGCATCATTGCCATCGTGATCCACTGCACTGAAGAGCGCAGCGATTTGCTCGTCCTTGATATCCTGGGACAAGGACGCCAGAATACGCCAGAAACCCCAGAAGCTCAAGGGAACGAGCGTTGCGACATGACCTGCACATATTCTGCAGTTGACATGTTTCCCAGGTAATACGTAGAGTCGAGCTAATCATCCGAAAATCTTGAGTTGACCAATGCAAGGAATGCAGGAGGTGCTTGCAACGTTGGTTTTTGTGTTTGAATAGGGACCGCTGGCCCGGTAGACTGGTAGACTGGTCTATTGAATCATATTGAATCTATTCCCTAGGGATCCAAATACCTTCTCAGAAGATACTTGGACCCTCCAAACCTACATAACAGTGTCTCCAATCACCGTACCTGAGGTTCGGTACGACGGGATCCCTAGGGACTCTATTTCTGTCGACTTTCCGAACCGAACCCCAGGGGGGGGTCGTTGCCACGCCTCAAAGACATCCTCCCTCTGGATCGCTCACACACCCACCCGCCGGATCGCGCGCACTCCAGGTGTCGAACCCAACCGGGCCCCGGACCGGCCCGGCCCCGCGTCAGGCGCTCCCCTCGGCGTTCCCTCGCCTCCCCCATGAGCTTCATGGCCTCTTTAAGCTCCGTCACATCAATCCTGGCGCCACACACGTCGCACACCGTGCGTCGGAATAGGTGTGGCGGCGCTGGGCTCCCCCCAGAGGCGGTGCCAGAGGGGGGAGCCAGACTGCACGGAAGGCTCTGGGAAGCCCGCAGATCGACCGTTCATCCTCACCCAACAACGACCTGGGAAGATTTGCCCTTCAGCTTCGAACCACTGAGTCTTCACGGAGAATCGGATGAATCATCGCGGGTCTCCCCGACCCGAGCTCGGCTCTCCCAGGCATCCCCGCCGTCCATTCTCGTCGGAATCAAAGAATTTGTAGGCTTTTTGCATTTGCTTTTCAGTCCTTGACCCAGCCCCCAGCAACGCCCAGTCCACAGCGAAGATCGCTGTGCAGGTGGCTTGAGCAGGTCACATGTCGCCGCTGTTTCAACCAGTGAGCAGGAACACATGTTGAAAAGATCTGCCAATTCGGCCATATCCCAGACACTCCGTATGTGATGTATGATATGTATTTGATTGACCCCCGGGTCAGGGCTCAAAGATTGCACTAGTTTTACTAGAGAAGGATTTGTGCCCCAAGCGTGGAAACCGACGTTTTCATTCCTTGCTGCGTTTGCCATTACGAAGTCACCGAACTGGCATCGTAGAGAACGGAAATCAAGGAGCAAAGCCAGGTCTGTTACTAAGAAACTGCGGACTGCCAAGATCCTCACTGGGAATCGGAGGGCTAGGTTGATACGAGCTGTCCATCTCCTGGAGTCCCATCATAGTCGACCAGCCTATCACCTACCGGTTTTGGGTACTACGATGCCATGGAAAAGAGATCAAGCCTGGCAATGGACGGATTCCCAATGGAAGGCAAGGCCCAATCGAAAGCAGGAAAAGGACCAGCAGACCAACAAAGGGAAACCAATCATGACTGGCTACGACGGAAAGCAAGTCTATGTTGGTGGTTCGCAGCAGCACTCTGCTGCATCTTCCTCGCAAGAGACTTCTCTGCGAGAAGAGAATCACCGTTTGAGAGAAGCGATCAAGTTTGTAGTGGGCAAGGTTGCTACAGAAGAAGAGATCCCAGATTTCCTGAAGGACATTACCAAGGAGAATCCTCGGGAGATTTTGAAACAGAAGCAAAAAGCACTGAACGAGGAAAGGAAGAACCTCAATCGCCTCGAAAAAGTGCGAGAACAGATAGCTGCCAAAGAGACCAAGTTCACGGAATGGAAGCATTCGGTCAAAGAGGGTGTACTGCAGGAAGAGAAGAGACACAGTACACAAGTAGCAGAGCTCCAAGCCAAGCTGAAAAGCATAGAGCAGGGAGAAGAAGATGCGGCCATTGTCGTGGACTCAGATGGAGAAGCCGATGTGAAAAAAGATGCTCGGTCCCGCCAGCTCGAACAAGAGCTTGGTACCATGAAGGAGCAAATGCAACAGATGATATCGTATACGGCCCATATGGAGGCAAAGAACAACATGATGCTCGAGCAAATTCAGATGCAGATGAGCACTCTGATTGGGGGTATGGCTGGAGCAACTTTGGCAGAAGGGATGAAGCCCAACTCTCCGGAGCAACATGTCCATCACCGAAGAGTCATGGATGTAATCGATACCTCCAAGAGGGATGCAGCTCCCCGTTCACGGTCCCCAGCCAAGAGAGCCAAGGTGAATCAGGTGACTCTTTCGTCTCCACGTGCAAATCCCAAGTTGGACTACAGTCCAACCAAGCTCAAGGGCGTGTTGGCAGACTTGCCCGAAGAGGTACAAAGCAAAGCATTGGGCATTATGAACTCGGACCCACACAAGTATGCCACATTTGTGGCTGTGGACGAATTGATTCAGACTCTCCTGCAAGTGTGGAATTTGGAACAGGCCCCAACGATTCGTACAGAAGAGGGACTTCCAGACCACCTAACAGAAGTAGGGATGACGGATTCATCAGTGGGAATGGCAGCAGCAGTGACACCACTACCCATTGCTGTCTCAACAGAGCACGACGGCAAGAGAGATGCGCTCCGCCCTTTTGGGCGGTTCAAGCCGAACAAAGAAGGACCTGCAGGCCCCTATACTTCTCCGGGGGGGAAGAGTACTCCGGGCAACAGCAGGAAGGGGGTCAAGCTGGAAGATTTGGATTCCTGATGTCTTTGATTTCAGGAGCCTGTGGCTGGTTTGATCCGAGTGAGCATCCATGTGCACGATATTTGATCTGTATTTCTTGGGGTGAAGTCAGAGATGTCCTTTCGTGCTTTGGATACTTTCAGACCGTTTTCTATCATAGGGGGATTTTCATCTTGGGAGATTTTTGGGAACTCTTTTTTGGGAATGAAGAGACGCACTATCTCTCTGTTTCAAGCAGCACTGTAGGCTCTAGTTTGGAGCCTAGTTTTGACCTAGTTAGTGCTGCTTTTGACCGCCTTTTGATGTACCCGTTTTCGTGGATCCAGCATTCTGATGGATATGCTTTGCAGCTTTGTGATGAGCTTGTTGGACGAGCTCTTCATTACCTTCCTGACCTGGGGTATGTTTTCTACCTATCCCTGGTCCTGCCGCTTTCTGTCTTGCTGGCTTTTTTCCTTCAGGAGTTTGTCGAGGTTATACATATTTTGCGCTGCCATTTTGGCAACCGCAGACTTCGCTTTTGGCCCTCACATCATGTCCTTCAAGATGTTGGATGGTTAGCTTTCGGATGTTGGAATTTTATTGCCTTCTTCCTTGAGATGGCTGACCCGGAAATTGCTGAAAGCGACTATGCAGGAGGTGTGCATATCCTTCTTGCTATGTGCCGAGCCCTCTTTTGCTGCTGGTTTTTCGTATTGACTGCGAGATTTCTGCGGAATAGAGAAGAGCTTGCACCGGTGTTCCCTTCGCAATGTCGAAAGGTCCAAAGCAGAAGATGCCCCTGTTACAGGAGGCGATACAGTGTTAGATGGGTCTATGTGTGGCTGCTTGTTGTAGTTGTCTCTGCTGAGGTAACCACTGCACCAGCTCCTTTGTTTGCCACTGATCCACAAGAAAAGGCTAGCTATGCCTTCAAGATGAAGAACAGTCTCTCTTTGTCTTGTGGAGACTCTCTTCCTCCTGGTGTTCACTCACCGATAGAAGACTTTCGGGACTATGGGATACAAGAGCAATTTTGTGCGGAAACTGACAGACAAGCTGCCAGTCCGTGTATGCATACAATATGCCACTGCAGACAGTTTACCATGGTCTCTGCTCCGACAGGCTACCAGACCTGTTGTAGAGCTGTGCATTTTTGTTCCCTACATTTTGAGGCGCAACCATTGCCTGTTAGTAGGTCCTCCGAAAGTGATTACAACCAGTTGATGCAGCTTGCGTACAGCACTTCAGTCCCATGTGGCTCGACACAGAGAGTAAGCCAGTATACGGCCGAACCTTTCTGCCCTTTCCAAGATGAAGATGCCTGCGTCCAAAGCTGGCTGGCCACTAGTGTCTGTTCGCAGCGAACTCAGCGAGCAAGGATTGTGCGCGGCAATTTTGGAAACCTGCATGAGGTTTTGACTGCACTATGGCCTGATGTTTGCAATCTTGCAGACTGTGGATATACTGTGCTTCGACCTCAGTCCTGGGTCCTGTCTGCTGAGCCTTCCTGCCTACAAGTGTTGGTTTATCCCCGAATGATTTCTCACCGTGTGCCAGTTTTGATCTTGATACATGACTCTGGCCCACATGTAGGAGAAATCTACCACAGATGGGCCTGCCTTTTGCGGTTTGGACCCCCTTTTCGCAACTCAAGAAGTTGGGTCTTGTGCGCACTGACCAACACATTGATGAATATCCACAGAATTTTAATGATTTGACCCCGAGACCTGGAAGTGTCTTACGGATTTGTTCGCACAATTGTGCACTTCTGTTGGGGCAACGGCCAGTTTCGGATGACCTTGAAAGAAGAAAAGATGGTCTCATGTTCGATGACGACCCTGAAGAAAAAACCTCTCTTATGCAGGTTGAACAACCAATCGAAGATGCTATGGCTAGGTACATACGCCAAATCACCGGCGGCCTTCAGAATCAGAGGGCTACAGTATGGCTGCATCTTGATGAGCAACTAGGCAGCCTCGGCAGGTCCTCTCGAGATTTAGTCTTGACTGCTGCCATTGCTTGTGGGCCGCAAATTCGGGCAATTTGGGGCGATGTGGCTGGTCCTGAACCATGTTTTCTTTTTCCAGTCAGACCTGCCCCTTTTGTTGCCGATGGTAGACAGCCACACTTCATCATGACAATGACCCGAGATGAGCATTTCTTTCCTATGCTTTTGGATTATTGGTCGGACTCAGAGCGATTTCGAGCAACATTCATCTTTGTGTTTGCTGGTTTTCCACAAGTGGCAGATTTCTTCCAACAAGCTGTCCCTGAGAATGCATGCGGCTGGCTGCATGAATGTTCTTTGGCAGTATATGACCCTGGAGGCATGGTTGTCTACCAATGGAGAGATCGGGTGCCGGTTTATGAAGGCATGTTCATCACATTGAGGGAAGATGAAATTCCTTCAGAATCGGAGTTGACCACCTGCGATGGCTCTTCCTCAGGGAGATCAGAAGTCGAAGAGTCAAGTGACGATGCTGGGAGCAACTCCACTGACAGACTTTTTGACTCCTCTCCGGATGAATCATCGCTGCTTTTGTCACGTAGTGTTGTTTACAAACCTCCTGAGGCTGCATATGAGGACTGGACTGGTGGACAACTTTACAGCCCTACTGAGGGAGACAACACTGCAACTCCCAAGGGCTGCTTGAAGTTACCGGCCATAAGTCCCCCTCCGATGGGTCTTTGAGCGTTGTTTCGGACAGTGCCCAACCTATACTCTTAGAAGATACAGTGGAGGTTTGGGCCTATGAGACTCGCAGACCCTTTAAGGGAGACAACACTGCAACTCCCCATGAGCTTTCTGCTGACTGTGCTGCCCACGAGCTATTGGCTGATGAGTGCTTGATGCTATATTCATGCAATGTTTACCCCATGGTGCTTGAGGACGCAGCTACTGACTGGTTTGTTCAAACCAGCAGGCTCACTATGAGAGCTAACATTGCAATGCTTCAAGAGCCGCCCACAGATTTTGTTGGCCATGAGGACTGTTTTGACGGGTCTTTGAGCTTCTGGTCCACACTCTCAGAGGATGCAGTGGAGGATTGGGCTGATGTGGCTAACAGACTTTCTATGGGAGGTAACACTGCAACTCCCCATGATTTTTCTGCTGATTGTGCTGACCATGGTGAGCGCTTGATGCGATATACGTGCAATGGCTTCCTCAAGGTGCCCGAGGATGCATTTGTCGACTGGGTTGATACAGCCAGCAGGCTCACCAGGGGTGACAACACTGCAACTCCCCAA